CCCCCCCCCCCCCCCCCATACACCAACCCCACCCTTGGGGAGGGGTATTTGCCTCACTCCCCACCCCAACCCCACCCTTGGGGAGGGGTCAATGCCCACTTCCGTTCCCCCCCCCACCCAATACACCAACCCCAGCCTTGGGGAGGGGTCAATGCCCACTTCCGTTCCCCCCCCCACCCAATACACCAACCCCAGCCTTGGGGAGGGGTCAATGCCCACTTCCATTCCCCCCCAATACACCAACCCCAACCTTGGGGAGGGGTCAATGCCCACTTCCATTCTCCCCCAATACACCAACACCCACGCCTTCGGGAGGGGTCAATGCCCACTTCCGTCCCTCCCATAGCCTCCCCCAACCAAGGTTTACGTCACACACACCCTTCCAACATCACGTGACATCCCTTGAGTGACGTCACACCCTAACCGGGTCAAGCCAGTACAATGTGACGACACACTCATTGATGACGCCACAATCGGTGACATCGCGCCCACCCGTACTCGTAGGCGAGGCATCATGGAATAGCGTCACGTCCGCTGATGATGACACAATCACCTTTGACGACGCCACAATTGCCTGGTGATTACGTCACCCCCCCTCACCCCGGGGTCACTGACCAGTCCAGGAGAAGTCCCGCCGTTTCCTCGTCCCTCTGGTGACCCAGTTGGCTCCTCAGGTCCTTCCACCGCTCACTCTCGAGGCCCAGGTAGACCGAGCGCTGGCAGCGGTTCCGGTGCCACTGCCGCTTGCGCTCCCGCCGCTCTTGCTCGGTGCGGACCTTGGGCCGGCCCCGGCACCGCTTCCCGGCCGGTCCCTCCATGGCGGCCCCGTGAGGGAGGCGGAACCAGACCGCGGGGGCGGTGCTTCTGGGGGCACCTCTTCCGGCGCTTGGGTGATGGCGTCACGACGGACTCTTAAAGGCGCCGCTCCAGACAGACAAGCAGCACCCATCACTGTGAGCACCCAGCCATCACCCATCACTGTGAGCACCCAGCCATCACCCATCACTGTGAGCACCCATCACCCATCACTGTGAGCACCCAGCACCCATCACTGTGAGCACCCAGCATCCATCACTGTGAGCACCCAGCACCCATCACTGTGAGCACCCAGCACCCATCACTGTGAGCACCCACCCAGCACCCATCACTGTGAGCACCCAGCCATCACCCATCACTGTGAGCACCCAGCATCCATCACTGTGAGCACCCAGCACCCATCACTGTGAGCACCCAGCCATCACTCATCACTGTGAGCACCCAGCACCCATCACTGTGAGCACCCACCCAGCACCCATCACTGTGAGCACCCAGCCAGCACCCAACTCTGTGAGCACCCAGCACCCATCACTGTGAGCACCCACCCAGCACCCATCACTGTGAGCACCCAGCACCCATCACTGTGAGCACCCACCCAGCACCCATCACTGTGAGCACCCACCACCCATCACTGTGAGCACCCACCCATCACTCATCACTGTGAGCACCCAGCACCCATCACTGTGAGCACCCAGCCATCACTCATCACTGTGAGCACCCAGCACCCATCACTGTGAGCACCCACCCAGCACCCATCACTGTGAGCACCCACCACCCAGCACCCATCACTGTGAGCACCCACCCAGCACCCATCACTGTGAGCACCCACTCACCCACCCAGC